CACTTGTGAGCACTTGATGCTGCTTTTGAGCAAACAATACAGACTATGTCTTGTATAGTGCTCTTTACAGGCTCCGTACGAAACTGTGATGGCGATTCTGCTGAAGTTGAGAGTAACTCAGTGATGACTTCTTCAACTTGCAGAGGCGATTCCTTGGAGGTGCAGGATAACTGAATATTCTTCGTGACTGCATCATCAATCAACGGTATAGAAGGCAGTTTAAGATTATTATCGATAAATTCTTGTATTTCTGTAGGTGATTCTGTAAAAGCAGGGGATAATGGAATGTCTTCTTGAGTAAGATTTGACTGTGATCTCATAATCACAGTCTCTTGTGAATCTTCTAATTTTTTCACTTTTCCAGTCTTTTTCTATTATACCACAAAGTATATTACATTCGATAAAAACTGAAGAAGACCTTGAAAAATTGGAAAAATTGATGCAAAAACTGATGCACGAAATTTTAGCTGTAGTTCTTAGTAAAACAGAAGATGGCTTTTATAAACTTGATACTAAAACAGGTGTTTTAAAACAATTGTATGCAAAATCTGACTTCAGTGTTTGCAAAGAGAGATTTTCAAAGAAAGAAGATGAATGTCGGTGCTGTAAAAATATCTTTACGTCAAACAGCAATAAAACAATCCCTTGGTACTGGGCAGGGTTTCAGAAAATGTGACTGCAAATCTAAATGTANAAAAAAATTTAGCGGGGTCCAAACGCCCGAGTTTTATGTAACGCTATGTTACTTGCCTGAGATACCTCGGGTTAAGAGCTTAATTTGCTGTCCGGTATTGTGACGATGTCACAATAAATAATTGCTCGTATTATACTTCTTTTCTATTGTTTAGAGCCAGGGGTGCCCAACTCGCGACCCGCGGGCCGCATGCGGCCCAAGGCAAGTTCCAATGCGGCCCAATAAACGTGTAAATAAAACCGACAAATTTTTTAATATTGTTTTATTTATTTATTTCAACGACATAAACTTAATAAAAGAAGTTTCACAAAGCCTTTATACATATTTTATTTTTGATTAAAAAGGAAATATTTTCAAATACGTTGAAATGTGTGAATAAGAAAGGAATACTACATAAAGCTAAAGTTGAGACTCGAAAAATGGCAGACCCAAATTCGGGGAAAGGAGAGAAAGGCCAGAAGAGAAAAAGTATTTTTTTTAATACTCTTTCCGCTCTGTGGGCACTAAGAGGGCCTGCTATAAGAGGCCCATTATGGGTTCGGTTAGACCCACAATGGTGCTAACAGGTAGTGACAGACAGAGCCCGACATATCTGAACACACCACTCCCGAAAAAATTCTGGGGATACCTTGACCTGTCCAGATTCGATCCCGGGCCCCTTAGAGCGGTAGGCTGACACCTTGACTGCTCGGGTTAAATAGACTTTCTGTTATGCAAATATGGACACTTAATTTTCCAATCTTCGTCACTTCTTTATCTTTTATCTTTTCTCTCCTTTTCCCGCATTTGGGTTTATAATCCTTTGAGTCCCAACTCCAGCTTTATTTAGTATTTCTTCCAGAGTTGCATGATTTGTCTACTTTTCGCCAAAGTTAACTACCCTTTTCTTAGTTTGGCGTAAAAAAATCTCATTTGCCACTTGGCAACATTTTGAGCTACATATTATTTACAAATAGATTAGTCGAATAAAAATGCACTTTAAAATAGTGTTTTTTCATTTTTTTTATTAATTAGAGATCCAAATATGACAAATATTTGTGTTTTTCAAATAAATTTTTGTTTGTTTCCTTCATAATAAATAAATTTATCTCTTTCTAAGTAAAAAGTGGAAGTGTTTGTAGAAATAATTCTTTAAAATATTCTTTTTCGTGATAAAGATTTAATACTTATTAATATTCCCTCTCTTGATTACTAAACCATCAAATATATTTCTTCCATAAGCAATTCTGCTTGAAAACTAACAGTCCGAATTATGAAATTCTCCACTATGCCATACAACAATTTGCATTATTCAGCATTATTGCCAAAATTTTAGTGCACACTATAATCTGTTTATCACATGTTAATCACAAGTATATATAATATACTTGTGGTCATTATGAATTTTTGGAAGATGGAAGATGTCGTGGATTTTTGGGCCACAAGTATATATAATATACTTGTGGCCCAAAAATCCACATCTTCCAACGTGGCTCAGAGAAACAAAAATGTTTGACACCCCTGGTTTAGATATTAAGATAAATAATATATTTAGTCTCTTGAATCAGTGTAAGATATAGTTTATGATCAAAATTGTGACTTTGGAAAATTTCTTGTTGAATGTTTCTGAGAGATTTTTAGGTTTGAATAACATTTTTACTGATGAAAATAGGAAATACAGAATATATTATTTTTTTCAAAAATAAAATCGTTTTATATCTTTAAGTAATTATTTTTATTGGTGATTTCTGACGCTCACACAAAAAAAGAATTATTTTTATTTTAAGTATTCTATTAGTAAAGTATTATGTATATATACAATTGAATATTATTTGATTAGAAATTATTTAAAAGGATAATCTTCTTGTCTTATATTAAGTGGTTTTTTTACCAGAAATTTTAAAAGGATTAAATGTAATTATTAACAAATTTCTATTTTTAACGTAAAATTATAAAATTTTTAAGTTGAAGTCATTCGAATTGCAACAGCCGTATGTTGTAAATAAATGAAACATTTTATTTTTGTCACCTTTCAACTTTGTGAGGTCGAGAAAAAACTTCAGGATGGTTAAAATTAAACTCTATTCAACCGAATTAAGTGAAATACGGTACGCGTGTTATTTGGACACGAAGAAGAAAATTACGGTGTGAAAATTAATTGGAATTATCACCATCAGGAAAATGTGGTAGTATTCGATCGAAAATGTATATTTATGGCTGTGAATTTATTTAAAAGATTGTGCTAAGCGGAGCGTGTGCACACTTTATCAGTTGTGAAGAACAGCATAGTAGGACATGTCTTCATATTCCTTCCGAAAAGTAACATTAGGTAGTTAAAACTAACGTTATTCTTGTAATAGAATGTTGTCCACTTGTCAGAAAACTGTCATCTTTGGTGGTAAAAATTTCAACTACATTTTTAAATGTCTCCCTTACGAATTGCATTCATGTGTACCGAGTTTTGTTTGTTTTTGTTCAGTGGAACAAGCTCTTCTCATGTCTGAATAACGTTAGTTTAATTCTAACCACCCCGTATTTCCTAATTTGTAGAAATTTCAAATTTTTAAAGAATATTAATTAATGAAATTTATTTTCCTTCTATGTAGGAGTCAGGAACAAAACACGCAAGACTTTTTGTTACAGAAAGTGAAAAACATATTTTCGTTATGAATGCAAAGGTGAGACAGAATGCTACTTTAATGAAAAAGTTTTTCAAGGATTACGTAGACAGCAAAGCTAAAAGTCATCGTGAAGCGAAGGCTTTTAAAAATAAATTGTTTACCGACATTCTTATAAAAGATCGAATGGTGGTTATTGGAACTTTTTTCGCTGAGAATCTTGTTGCAATTGCTTATGGATCAAACTATGTTAAATCTGATGATGTTCTTTCTACAGTTTATAAAGGATTTGCCATGAGAAAAGGATTTCCGTATAAAAAACAAGTTAACAAACTGTAAGTTGATAATTTACTCATGATCAAATATTTTAAAGCATCACAACCATTACAAATTATTTGTATATTTCTAGAATACGAAGAATATTTGAGACAAAAATTTTTAAAATTGAAGAAGTTCTTAACGTACCCAGTTTTGAAGATGCTGCGAAACCTTTATCCGTAGCAGATTTATACGGTGCACTCGGAATCCTCGTTATAGGATACACTTTGTCCTTTGCTTGTTTCCTCACTGAAATAATTCTTGGAAAGTTCCTCAAATAGAAACGTTAAGTTATATTTTTTTGTGGTTGTGTATTTGTCTCTTTAATCCGATTTTCAGTTCGGTAGACTATCATATACAGCATTCAGGTTATGAACTTCTTTTATTGGTTTGTCATATGCATTTCGGACTCAATTGTAATTTAAGTCCCTCTTCAGTACAAACTCAGATTCTGTTTTTTAAAAACATCGGTGTACAATTGGTAACGTTGGATAGGATTAAAAATACAGCCATTTAAAAAACAATTCAACTACATATTCACATTAATACGTTGCACACTTTACAAATGTTCATAAAAACCTTTACAATTACAACTTTTTTCAAAAAAATTCGTATGCTCTTTCTTGAAAATTTGTAATTGTATAGGTTTTATGAACATTTGTAAAGTGTGCAACGTATTAATGTGAATATGTAGTTGAAGTGTTTTTTAAATGGCTGTATTTTTAATCTTTTCCAACGTTACCAATTATACACCGAGGTTTTTAGAAAACAGAATCTGAGTTTGTACTGAAGAGAGACTTAAATTACAATTGAGTCCGAAATGCATATGACAAACCAATAAAAGAAGTTCATAACCTGAATGCTGTATATGATAGTCTACCGAACTGAAAAATCGGATTAAAGAGACAAATATACAACGAAAATAGCAGCAGCCATAAGTGATTTTCTGTTAAGTTATATGTTATAGCAACTTCAAATTAACTTGCAACGCTGCAGATGCTATAATAAAGCGTATGTCTAAAGTAATGTTACGTGACGTCGCTATCTGAAGGCTTTTTGGAAGCAATCTGCCATTGTTCGAGCAAATATTTACTTAATTACAATAAATAGCTTTAAGACAGCACATTTTGCCTTTTTGTGGGTCACTTTTTAAATTATTAAAAAAGTATATTAAAATTCGACAAACTTATCTTTAATTTAAGTTTATCATAAGCGTAGAAGAACAAAAGAGAATTGCAAATACAAACATACAATACGCATAAATGTTCTGCTTATGGTTTATGAATCAAAAATACATCTGTTAACGATGCGAATACTACTAGCCAACCTTGCGGCACTGTACAGAATGAGCGCTAAATGCACCCATTCTTTTTACTTTTTATCTAGTTATATTTTTAAAATGCATTTGTCAAGTACATGAAAATATCTTATAATGTAAAATATTGGAAAAATGCTGCGCATTCAGGAGTAATGCCCGAGTGAAAAATCATCAAACTTTGGTAGTAGGTTTTGGTTTCGTACCCCACTAACGAGCCTGGCCGTGCGCAATTTTCAGGGTTTGCTCCACGTGTCTGAAACTTGAATAGGGACCAGTTTCCTTTAGAATGTCCTCGAGGAAAGGATCTCTCCTTGGCAGATTATATTTTGTTTCGTTATATAAATTCTTCAACTCATTGCACTCGGCTCTGCGTGTATTTCTACACTTAATCTTTCAAATTTTAAATCGATGTGAAAATGAGAGGAGTAATCGAAAAATAATGTAATTAGTTTCCCAACATCAGTTAACTGTAGAATTACATTTGATAATACTGTCCATAAAATTCATTAATTTACTTAAATAACGATGTAAGAAATTGTAATTGGTTTTCATTTACGTATTCTATATTTTAATAGATGAAAGTAAACACGTTTATTCTACTTAGTACCAACTTAGAATAAATTTTCAGTCTAGAATTGAGTTAAACACTTGATATCCAAACAGAGAGCAAAATCCACATCTTCTTTGATGCAATTCGAGGTTTTCGTATATTCCTCATTTATGTAATTTACAAATAGAAAATTACACCTATCAGTAGAATTACCCGTATTATAATTAACGTATTGTAATTGTAGTGTATGAGACTTATAATCTGTAAATTAAATGTAATTTGTAATTGAAAAATAAGAGCTTCCTTTTTATTAATCGACAACATTTTTTTTGCTTGGCTCAATGTCACCACTTGGTGAATTTATAGACACTTGGCAAGTAATTTATCATCAACTTTTTAATACACAATCTTTACTTATAGAGACGCGTTTCTGGCTTTCGCCGCTCTTCAGTCTGTTACATAATAAACATATGTATGAGTTTCTATAATACCTAATATTTTTATATGATAATTAAAAAACCTACCAAGACAACCTGAATAACATACATGTGACGATCGAATCCCTCGTTACAGGGTTACATTTATTCTATACGTCTAAGTTATTTTAAATGTTTTCCTCGCAGATAGGTTGTATCTGGTAGGCATTCTGGGAGAGATGTTGCACGTTGCAAACAAACGGGGGAAACAGTCAAGTTAGTATGGAGGGGAAGGTAGGTGGGAAGACGTAGTGCGGAAGGTGCCGGACAGATGTTCACCAGATACAACCTTTCTACGAGGAAAACACCTAAAATGAACTAGATGTATAAAATAAATGTAACCCTGTAACGGGGGATTCGATCGTCACACGTACGTTATCCAGGTTTGTTTTAATTATCATATAATTAGAAAAAACTTACCATTAAAAATATTATGTATTATGAGAAACTGATACATATGTTTATTATGTAACAGACTGAAGATGGGCAAATGCCCGAAACGCGTTTCTATAAGTAAAGGTTATGGATTAAAAAGTTGATGAGAAATTATTTGCCAAGTGTCTATAAATTCAACAAGTGGTGACATTGAGCCAAGCAAAGCAAGAAAAAGAAGACACGGTTTCGACAAAACAAATAAAACGTTTTATTTATTTAATTACATTACATAATAATGCAAATTATACATT